ACCTTAACTAAATAAAGTGCCAACATTTTCAACTATCAAACTATCAACTATCAAATTTCAAACTATCAAATTTCAAACTATCAAAATTTCCAACAATGACAAAAATGATTATAATATACCTATAATGTAATAAAATATACACGCTCTAATCCTTTAATTTGTATTACCTTTATGTTATGTACCTACATGTTATACTATTTATGTAATAAATTTTGCCAACATGCTTTTCAATTCATTCTGCAACATTTCATTCCCACGTGGTAATAATGATTTATAATGCCTATAATCCATTATAATGCATCATAATAGTAATGCCGCATTATAATGTCGTATAATATATCGCAACGATTCATGTCCTACTGATTATTGATTATTGTGAGATGAATTCTGTTTTCTCTGATAGTATGTTTCATACGTGCGAAGCACGTACGGGTCGCTAGTTGATAATAAAATCTTCAAAGCTGCGCTCGAGCATCCGAATACAGCTAAGTTCACATCGTACATATTCGATCCAGTCATACTCTTGAGAATAGCAGGATGAATAAGTGCCTGAGACAGATCTTTGTACGCTTGGGCAATACACAAACTAAACTCCGGTTTGGTTTTTGGTGGGTCTTTATTCGCTTTAATCAAACCAAGTAATATCGTAGCGGGATAAATTGTATTATTATCACAGAGTATCTTGTACCACAGTGCTGCCCGACGATATATCTTTAATTGGTCATAAACTTTCTCTGCGTATATTTTTTCTCCTCGTGTTTTGCGTACAGCGTCACTCCTCTTAATCAAGTCCTTCATTTTCGTTACTTCTTCTGTACTAATATCTGAGTCCAGACCGTAAGTGTCTTCAAAGTACTCTATGGCACTCCTTGCTCGAACCATGGACCAATTCTTCACCAGCTCTGCCTGTTAACATACGCCCAGAAAATATTTGAAAAGTGAAACTATAATTAAATTATACATTTTCTTGAAAATTCCACAAAGAGAAATCAAAAATCAAAAGAAAGAATAGGCTCTCAGCTCGAGAGCTGAGACAGAGTCGCGGCTCATAATCATACTTTCCAAGTCATCATTTATAGTCCAAGTCTAAATAAATTGTCAAGATTTGCGTATTGGAATATGTAATATCTGTTGAAAAAACCAGAAGGAAACTGAAATTCATCAACAAAAACACGCAAAAATCCGGTAGATAATAGGTTCACAGGCTGTTCTTACTCAAGTATAGTGCTGCATTTACGCAACCTCCAATTCCAGGTTTCGTTGGAAAACGTTACTAAGACATCACTGATACCACAAATAATGGAATCACAAGTTTTTAATCACGACTTCCAGGAACATAAAAAATCGTTAAGAATTCGAAAAAAGGTAAATCATGAAAAATATCAACAGGTCACCCCATAGTTTTTCATTCCAAAGAATCGGAACTCCTCGAACACATCACAACAGTAACGATTACTTAAAATCCTTCTCAAAAAAAGTGACAGTTTTACTCACCATTGATTAAGGGTTACTTAATCGTGAAGTAAACGTGAATTCACCCTTACTTTAAGCTTACTTTAAGCTTACTTTAAGCTTACCTCACGTTTACTTTTCCCTTGCTTAATCTTTGTCATTGTAATTCCTACTGATTCTTCCTACCAGAGTGATTATATCGTCCAGAAATTTGATATCTGCCTTCTCACCACGGTACAGTTTTGGTTCCTACATTTTAAATTCGGGATCCTCCGTGACGAGGAGGTAAGCGTCAGAATTTGAGATGTGCCGCCTATACGCAGACGCTGGATGCTCCGAGTAACCATGAGTTTGTTCTAAGTAGGCTTCAAAGTCTGCATAAATTACGTAATTATGTTTTATTTCCTGATGGTGATTTTTGAATTTGATGTATCGCTCGTCTGGAAATGAAGCTAGGAATGCGTCTTTGCTTACTAAAGAGCAAAGAACTTTGTGTTGACTCAATTGCTCCATCGAGTTCTTGTGCGTAAAGCATTTCTTGCAGATGTAGATACGATGATGATATTTTGTCAACTGTTTTCGTACAAGTTGTTCAAAGTTACTGATCCAACAATAATGGTAACTTAAAGGTACGGGGGTTGAGAGACATAGTAGGTCGGTGTGGTCCTCTCTTTCCGGGTCGGCAACTTTAATTGGGTAAACTGTATACTTTTTCTTGTTGGACACCAAACTCTCACGGTGCCCAAATACCGAAACCGATACGTTGTTCCTTTTCTCGAATTTGACAATGTCATCTATGCTCGTGGGGAATCGAACGACCGAGAAATCGTAATGATGGAGTATATCAACATATTTATTCGGATCATATTTATACTTCTCTTCCTTCGGGACGAACTTTCCCAACATCGCGAAGAAGAAACAATCGTTTAATGCACCGTTATTTACATTGACAACATTGTTCGTAAAAAATGGCAGCTTAACATACGTTCCTCCTCGATGTACCTACTCGTATTTTAGATGACACAGAATAAACACTGATCAAAATATAAACAAAATCTTTGAATCTAGCGTTCTTCAGTTTGTTATCAGCTACCAGAAAAGTCCAAGGAAACCTAATTCGGACGCAAACCCCTGCTAAAAATGATGAGTAGGCTGTTTAGAATTTGCCGACTCACATGAGTAGAATTTCCTACTTATATGAGTAGAAATCCTACTCACATCACAAAAATATTCTACTCATAAGAGTAGAAAAGTTCAACTCATGTGAACTCAATTTTTTTCATTTTTCAGAAGTGGTGTTTTTGACCAGGAGACACCGACATAGTACGTAAATTTGAAAAATAAGAACATTTTGTTCATATAATTTTTTTTGATGCGGTGACTAGTTTCTGAGATATCGGACACGGTGCGGTGGATTCAACGCTGGACTTATGTGTGTTGAAATCTCTAGTCATGTGAGTCGGTGAAAAGTGAATAGAGAAATTCTGCTCATATGAGTTGAATTCTACTCATATAAGTTAAAATTCTATTCATATGAATTGAAATTCTATTCATATGACTTTGATTTTCTACTCATTTGTACTCACCATTTTTAGCAGGGACTGGGCTAGTTATCACCAAAATCCGGTTTCTAATCTAACAGACCTCGTGCCATTTGCGCTATCTTATTCTGGGAAAAATACAAGTGCCATGGACACAAAAACTGAATAAATTACACACCTCTTATTTTTGTTTACTGAAAAGTAGCGTGAAAGCTGCTAGGTATTCGAGGCTATATGAACGAGGCCTTATAAAACCTTTACGAGCAATGTTTATTTGCGGAAAAAAATCACGATGTGTTCGTCTGCACAACCAATTTTGAATTTTCAAAAGTTATTTTGAATTTTTTCCCCTTATATTCATTTCTTCAAATAATATAGAAGTAAATTAAATTACGACTTACATATCGTTCCGTCGTTTGATGGCATTCGGCAATAGTAATGGCATGCGTCTTTAGTTTGCCAAATATTAACGCCGCTCTTTCCTCCGTGTTACTTAAATTTGCCAAAGTATTTGCTTCTTCTTGAATGCACTTCAACATATGTGTGGTCAAAATCTCGTTTTCGGGTGGTTCTTTGGGTGGTATATTCTTATCTGGTCCCAGTATTAGGGGCCTTAAACCAGCCTTCGGAACACATTAAAATAAATTATTAATTATGAATTTATAAAAACAACGTTAAGAAAGGACTGTATAAGAATAACACTTTAAAAAGCTACAGAACATGAATTAAAATAGCTAACAAATAACAGTTTCTATTGCATTTAATTTTTTTTTTTTAAATAACCAATTAAACTGCTTTGCAGGTACAACAGTTTCAGGTAGAATACAGATATTTTAGGTCAGTTAATTAAAAGTTTAAATTATGTAACTATTTTTTATGAGATAGCATGTAGTTTTATAATCATATTTTTTTAGTAATTAGAGAGGAGAACTGGGTAAAGAGAGACCGGGGTGATGGGAGACTTTTGCTCCTGCTGCTGCCTATTTGAGACTAGCGAAATGCCCGTGACTGGAGTCACGGGTCTAGAGGCCGCTAAAATATCTAAAACTCCGAAAAAATACTGGTAGGGGAGCAAGACATGCCATAAAAAAAAAATTATAAAATCGATAGTAAAATGAGTTGAGGGGAGAGGGTGATGGAGCCAACAGAAAAATGAGCTGGGGGGGTGGTAGAATATTTTTTTTCTATTATTGGGTGAAATAATTTTCTACAGACACAGTATAAATGCTGGCAAAACAATTAGAACTAACCTAGCAATGATTTATTAAAAGAAAAGAGAGAAAAAAAAATGAAAGAAAAGAAAAAAATAAATTGAAATAAAACATCAGCTGATAGCAAACAAAGGTTACCAAGGAAACCAAGGAATGGAACTTTCATCAAAATAGATTAGTAGAAAACAGCGTAAGTAGGGCACTTACGTTAATTAGCGTTTATGAGTAAACGGTAAGTGAAATTTAACCAAAAATCTATACAGTTCTTTATAAGACCAAAACGGACAAAATTACAAAATTTGAATAGGCTAACGTAAATCTAACGATAGTTATCGTGAACGAAAGAATTGACGACATAGGTCGGGTAACTATTATAGGTGGGATGGGATTTGAGATAAAAAAGCTATCAAAAACCTACTTCAATGGGTAGAATCACTATTTGATTTTAAAATAGTCTTAAAATAATACGGGTATTATCTGGCAATCTATCCTAGAGTACTTTTATAGACAGAGTATGACCATTTCCGTTCCGGTTTTTCATTGGTCGCGTGAAAATAGGCTGACACGATGTTCTTACGGCCGTAAATAAACAAACAAGATGGCTGTTATCAGCAAGCAAGATTGAGGTTATGCACATCTTACATCCTCCTATGTTGTTATTTTAATCTGTAATCCAAATCAAAGGGCCTAAATCCAAAATTCAAAAATTTTGGCAAGCGACATATCAATTCTGAAGGTAAATTGCAAGTTACAGCCCTTTGATCGGAAATTTCGTCCGTTTTGGCGTATCTTGAAGCGTAAGGTCACAAACGGCCCAATGACGACGTGAGGCAATGAGCCGGCGAGGCGCGCCGCGGCCGGCCGGCCGCTGAGCGCGCGCGCAGGGCAGGGTTGCGCATCGCCGCATTACATCAGCGTAGAGGAAGGGACGGTGGGGTAGGAGGGGGATATCCGGTGGAAAAGCATCCACATTTTCTATCCATAATGAAAATGCATTAGGCTTTTTCGATATAGATGAGGAAATATGAGCCATACAAGGAAGTGATGAAAAGAGGGACAAATACATATGTAGTTTGTACGATTAGGAGCGTAAGTGGGGAAAATGTGCCGTAACTACATGCAGAACAGCCCTGAAAATCTCCGAGAAATAAAAGCTGCTGTTGTTAACATACCTGTTGATCATCAAAACAGAAAATTCTCGCACCCACCGGAGGTATACCAGAAACCACTGGTATTTGACGAATTAAAAAGATATGTGCGATGTTGTCGAATAATAAGCCCTTTACGCGATCAAATGCGATTAGTGTAAATTTAATTGGAAAAGTTGAAGAAATATTTGATGAAAGAAAATTGCCCTAAATTCGGGAAGTGCTCCAAGTGTTTTTCTACCATGTGAAGTGTTTGCACTTGAATGTCAATGGCAGAGCGTGGAAAACCTCTCATCTGGTAATTCCAATATGGAAAGAAAAATTTAGAATCCCTGTGATACATAGTGTCCATGTTTTTAAAAATGTTTACATTTTTATGAGGAGTAGAGGCGCGTATCAAAAAATGCTAGCCGTCGATCGCTGGTTCAAGAGAATTTGAGACTGACTTTACGGCAAAAATCGACGTGTTATTCGACAGTGCTTTATGGATTTATTAATATGAATTTTGGATTTAGGCCCTTTAGGCCCTTTGAGGCACGGGTTAAAATTTTTTTAAAATTTTTTCCTTTTAGGGGGTTCATTTAGAAACTACATAGAAACTTTTTAGGGGTTGACCAACTTGATTTTCGCAAGACTCAAAAATAAGATACACCCTACGCTGGGGCGCCGCGCCGCCGCGTACGACATAATGCGGCTACGGTGATCCACTTTGGGCAACTTCGGGAAATGAACCGCAATGCTCCCTAAAATTGTTCAATTCTATCAAAAAACTAGAGTCCCTTTATACCCAGAGTTACGACAACTCACTTTTGATTGGGCCAGGGTTGGGCTGAAAGTGGCCTAAAAAAAAATCCAATTCTGATTGGTTCTCGCTCATGGAGGCCGAAACGAGTGCACCAAGATGGCGGTACCTCGTATGTGAACAAGAATAATGAAAATATTACCTAATTGTGGTTTATCAAGAGTAAATTGTTATTTCCATCGGTCCAAAATGAAAATAGATTAAGAAATTATTCACAAACCAATCTCATTTTATTTTTAATTGATCAGTTTGTTGATGTTGTTGTTTTTGTGTGACAGACATCGCAGGATTCCTGATCCTTATCCCTCAATATCGTTCGTTTGGGTGCACTCGTTTCGGCCTCCATGGCCAGCCAAGGCCGGCTGTCAGTCAGCTGATAATCGAGTTGTAACTCTGGGTATAAAGGGACTCTACAAAAAACGATGCATGCAACGTATTTTTACTTTCTGATCATGCTATATAAGACCTGCCTCCGTGTGATTGTTTTTTGGGGAAATTGAAGAAAAGAGCAAAAAATAGTAAAAGAGACGAATGTTATAAAACTACACACCGTAAGCAGCGTTATGCCTCACTCGTGTTTGACCGCGCCCCTAAAATAAGAATTTTTAGGTTCAGCACTTGTAAAAAGTTTCCAGAAGCATAGAATTCAGGCAGATTTGACGCATTCTAAGGGGGGTAGGTCTTTCATTACCTGGTTCTCGCATAGGTGCCTGAAAGTTCAATTTCAATCCTTTCGTTGAACAGGGTTTTTAAATTTGAAAAAAAAGAAGTCTGAAGAAATTTTTATGAAAGAATAATTTTACCTTCTCACTTAAATAATCAGTATTATTTATTAATATATAAGAATTGCTATAAAAATAAAAGGAAGTAGCCCAAAAAGGGGAAAAGCAACTACGGTTCTCAGAGAAGAAATGTTTTGAAATAAATATGAATTATGAAATTGTAACAAATTTATGGAGCCAGAAATGTAAACCTGGAGTACATTTTTCGACATGTACATACATATTAAAAGTTTACTGTAACACACGGTTCATGTACCAAATGAAAAAATAAATAAATTGTCAGTTTTGTACTCACATCTATGGGTGACTCTTCTGTCAGAGCCAGGAAGGCTCCGATATGAGAGATAGAATATAAGAAGAAAATGTACGTGCACATCTTCATCGCGACGTGTTAATAACTGACGATCGTGTTCGAACCTCGCACAAAATTCTCTCTTTTAAATCAGGCAGCCACGTGCAACAACTTTGACTTTGTTCAAGATAAGAGTCATTTTATCAAGGCAAAAACGCAACGAGAGGGAACGGCTATTTTTAGCTTATGTTAGCGGAACTTGCCTATCGGAGAAAAAACTTGTCATCCGCTACCCACGACTGTTTATTTTGAAATATTTTTCATCGAAATCATGCATGCTATTTGTTAAAGGGTAAGAACCAAGTTAGAAATCTGGTGCTCATTTTGTTCGTTCCCAAGGATGACAGGACGTGCTGCGTTTTTGTTGAGAAACTCACGACTGTCCCACGCTCACGACCGTCACAAATAGCTAAAATTTGAATAGGAAAAACAGTGTAAAAAAAATAAATTTCCGTAAACATTGGGACCGTATACGTTTTCAAATCTCAGAAATCGTCCAGAATTATGGCCAGTCCAAGCCTGAACTGATTACGGAAATGGCAGGAACCGTCAGCCAATCGCAGAGAATCTCTCTCAAGTCGCGTCGCTCGTTCACCCGGAGAAAAGGAAGAAGTAAAAAGGGGAGGAAGAAAAAAGGAATAATGGATAGAGGAAAGAAGAATGGAGGACGCTTCCATCTAATAATTATTCAGAACAAAATTAACACTAACTGCATAGTATATGCTTTAAAATTTCGACAAATTTCTGGAGGAAGCCCCCGGATCCCACCTACGGTTACAGCTCTTACGTTCTCTCTAAGAGAAAAGGTGCTACGTTAGTCCCGTGAGTAAAGCTCATAAAACGTTGTTCTCGCACGAAGGAACGTAACTTCATTCCAAGGTTGCAAAATTTACTTGGACAATTAAATTTTTTTCGAGGATATACTTGCATAATATTCGTCAAAAATTCGTCTGCTTTTAGCATGAGATCAGGAGAAAAATTAGTGAAATCTTCAGTCAGAAATTCTCAAAATGCAGTATGCGCGGAAAAATCTGGCAACACTGAAATAAGGGGCTTGGAGGATAAGGCGCATCAGTGCAGTTTTTGAAAAAATTGAGATATTAATGAGTTCAAGTAAAACTAATCATAATGCATATTCTGTGAAAAATTCGCTCCCGAATTCCAGTTTTAAAGCATCAAAATGTCAGTTTGAACTTTCTTTCCGCCATATGAATGCATGTAATTTCGAGAATTCAAACAAGTATTTCTTGGAACAGCAAAAACTGATATGCGCCCTGGCTTCCAAGTCCCTCAAATGCAGTTACGTTCTTTCGTGGGAGAAACGACGAAAAGCTGCCCACTATTGAACCTGCCCCCCCCCCCTTTCTTTCATAGAGTACATAGAGTCGTAATGTAATTGGGAGAGCTGGCGCCACTTTTAAGCATTTTCCATGTCCCGAATTCCGAGACTCCTGTGTGACGCCGGGTCACTTTTTCGATATATACATAATCGATTGTTTGCGATACACGGGTACCCGGTCATCCGATGACAACAACAACAACAACAACAACAACAACAACAACAACAACAACAACAACAACAACAACAAAGGAGATAGGAATTACCACGTATTCCACACCGCCATTTTGGATCGAAAATGTATCGAAAAAGCGACCCGAACTCGGCGCATACGGGGCTCGGAATTCGTCGAGCAGAACATGGCGCCAGCTCTCTCATTTACATTACGACTCTATGTATTCTATGCTTTCTTCCCAGAGGCCGGTTTTGTAAAGATAGAGTTCACAGTTGGGGGATGCGAAATAAATGTGAGGCGCGAGAATTCCCTATCAAAGAGAAGAACATGATGAGAAGGCGGTGAGAAATCAGATCTGTCTTAATTAAATCATAGCGCGGAAGCGCATCAGACTGAGACAGTAATAATTCACTTCCACAATAGAATTGCAAAATTGGAATTTAACATTTAAAATTATAATTCATCAAACGGTGCAAACCTGCTCCGGTAAGTTCTGATTTTGAATGCGAGAAAAAGGACGAGAGGCTGAAAGATGGCGCAGTGAAATTTTTTTATTTCAGATCAGTTTTCAATCTTCAATTTCAGTGATCAGTGCGAAGTGCTCTCGAGCGTGAAAATACCGCGTGACCAGTCGCTCAGTGGATCTTCAGGTAATTTCAGACCGTTACTTCTTGTAAGTTTGCAACATCTGATTGCTCCGAAGTTTTTTTCTGTCAAGGATACAATGCAATAATAATTGGTCCATTAGAAGTCTTCTCTCGAACGAAATTCGATGAGCCAGAAATAATGGCGTCTAAGTCTGTTGTGCTAAGGAAGAACGCCGTATGTGCCTTTGGACGTTGCCAAGTTTCCTTTAATAAGAACCGACTTTATTAGGACAATAATGTGAATATTTTTTTCTCAAAATTTTGTTCCCAATTCAATCTAAAATAACTGAAAGTTTTAGGGAAAAATACGCTTAACTTTTCTCGAGAATGTATGCTTTATCCAGAGAAATATGACGAATATGACAATATGAGGAAGAACATACGATGTTCTTCCTCATCACGGCAGGAGTATTGATCATTCAGATCCATCTGTCACTGTGCTTTCTCGGATTTTTCTTTCACACATCGATAGCCAAAATGCGAAACCACATATCTTCATTATTGTGTTCGAGAATTTCCGTTTCACTTTATCGTAAAAATTTTGAGTCAGATTCAAAACTTTTTGATGAGAGTCAATCGCGCGAGAGAACAGTTGCACATGTACAGTTCAAATTAGTTTTAGCTGACCAAATCGATTTAGTGGATGTAACATTTTTGGTGAAATCGACCAAATTTTGGTAAATCGAATTTTGGTTAAATACACCAAAAATCAGGAAAATCGTCTGCGTTTAAAAAAGTGCCTTTCGTGTGATTAACACACTAAATTGTCGATTGCGACGTCTATGTTCGACCCTGGCCGTCCGTGTTTACGTTTTTTCAACCAAAAGATTTAGTTGATTTGACCAAAAAATTTCATCAATTCCACCAAAGGAGAAAGTGGCTGAACGGAATTCGCAAAAATGTGTGTTACTATGAGTTTGCCCTCTCCTCCTTATATTAGCGCAAAATTTTTGTTACTAGCTCCTATTGTGTGAATGTTAATAGTATTCCAGTCAATTTGCCTACAACACTAGTTACTAAAACTACTTACATTTATCTGTTTGCTTTTCCTCCTCATGAATCAGGACCTGCCGAAGTTTAGGCTTTCAAAAGTTCAATTTCACATGCTGCAGACAGTTTTCTTTGGTTTTACATGGATTTTGCTGAGCTTTGTTACCCTCGAGCTCCTGCTACGATGGAAAAGATGGCCTCTCATGAAGCATCTAATCTCGGTCAGAGAACCAGTACGATACACTCTGCCCATTTTAGGCCATGCGAGGGTAATAATGGGCGGACCAGGAAAAATTATCGCAAATGTATCCAGACTATATGAAGAGTAAGTAATTTTTCACTGTCTCCATTAAGATATGGGGTAATTAGCCATATGGCATGAGGCTAATACCGATGGTCAAAGCGTGACGCCATACGCATCTCTAAAATTCCTACATTTGTAGAGAGCCAAAAAACTGTTAATCTTTGTCCATTTGGTAAACAGAGTCCGAAACCAACCATAACCACAAAGCATCACATTATTCGAGAGGATTTTCCACCTCCTTTATTTACTTTAACGTGTTTACTTTATTTACTTTAACGTGTTTACTTTATTTACTTTAACGTGTTTCTTAAAATGTTTCTTTAAATAAAAAAAAAAAGGGACGGACAGCTAAACGAGCAAAAGACAATATAAGGGGTTGAAAGAGAAAATTTTGGAAATTTAGATTACCAGATCTAACTAACTCATGTTTCACTAAATTTGAATTTTAATGCGTTCAATTTTTTTCTGTAGGATGCGCGGTGCCAATTTCAAGGTCTGGGCTTTAAATAAGGTTTGCCTTATTATTACGAATCCGGATGATATTGGTTTAACTCTCGGGAGCCCAAATTTCAGAGTTAAAAGCAATAGTTACGCCATTCCACAAGAGGGTATAATGGGTCACGGTCTTTTTACCATCGATAATATGACCTTATGGAAAAAAAATAGGAAACTCATCACTCCTGCTTTCCATTTTCAGGTAAGAAGGTTTATAACTGCAATTATTAAATCGATAATCTGCGCCCGCTGTTGAAACAAAGAAATGATCATCGAACTGATTACTCGCTCGGTATTTTCCACCCCTTAACATAGTATCCAAAAATATTGACTTGGTATCTCTGTCCCCCTGAGAACCCCCGGAGAATCCTTCATCAAATAATGCAAGCTTTTTACAATAACTGAGCTGATCTAGAATTGTAAAGGTGAAAGCAGAGGCGACGCTATTGCATTGAAACTTTGCAAAGTTTTCATTGAAAGTGTATTTCCTTTACCAGGATCGGACTGGTTCGCATCTGAGGGCGTAGACCCTTGGCTGGTTAAAGGGGCGTGCTGTGATATTTCGAGGTAGGGTAACCTCTACGTGGAGAGGAATTCAGAAATTTTTGGCAAAACAGCACAAGTTTACGCTATTTCCAGGTTCAAAGTTTATTAATCGCACAGAGTAAAAATTGAAAAATTGAACGTATATTGAAGTAACCGACGGACTGCTAAGACGTGGGTCTGAAAATCCATCCGGAAAAATAATCAGACAAGAACCAGAAAGAAGAAGAGAGAATCGAGTATTAACACAGCCGAGGACATAGACGTATTTGGGCCTCGTTTTTAACTTTTTCCCTGAATCTAAGCTACACCTCATTGACAGCATAATTATATAAGAGCATTGAGAGTTCACTCTTTGCGTCATCGCGCCTTCAATTTTTCTGATGCAGCACGGACGTCCATCAAGTACGAATAGTTGTATCTCTGCGCCGTTGTAAAAGCGCATCATTCCCTCCCTCTATTTCCATATTGTGTTTGTTTTCGTTTGTCGTATTCGAAATGGTGCTTCAAGCACTACGTGAGTAACATAGCCGAGGGTGGGAGAGAATTGTATTCGGGCCTCTTTTTTAACTTTTCTCCAGAATCTGAGCGGCACCTCATTAACAGCATATAGCAGAGCATTGAGCAGAGTTCACGCTTTGCGTCATCGCGCCTTCAATTTTTCTGATGCAGCACGGACGTCCATCAAGTACGAATAGTTGTATCTCTGCGCCGTCGTAAACGCGCATCCTTTTCCTCCTTCTGTTTCCATATTGTGTTTGTTTCCGTTTGTCTTATTCGTAATGGTGCTTCAAACTAGTAGCATAGAGCAGAGCATTGCGAGTTCACGACTCATACCATCGCGACTTACATTTTTCATGTGCAAAGTGGACATCCATCTTGCACGAATAGTTGTACGGTGTTCATACTTTAGATGTCTCTTATTTTTGAATTTCGAGATAAATTAAGGTTAAGTTTGACCGAGATATGCTATGGTATGTCCGAATCGATAGTCATTTCGGAAAGGAAGAGATACGTTTAAAGGTCTCTCAAGAGGTGTATAAAGGCACAATCGAACGGATCATCGCTTCTGAGGGAGTTACACGTAGCGAATGAAGGGTGGAGATGATAAAGCGCCTGTACGTCAACAAAAAGGTGGGAATTTCACAGAAAAGTGTTAACGCTTCAGAAAGTATAGTTCCTGGACCTCTGTTCGCCTTTATCATGCGTAAAAGCACCTTTCTGTACCCCTAACTCTTTCTTCTCCCGTTCATTTAAGAAATTTTCCACATATATTCTCGGTCGTAATTTTTTTTCTCTTCTTATTTTACTATCTGTCAGAGAGGCGCGTTTTTTGCCCGCCGACAGCAATCTGCCAAATGGCAGATTTGCCGTATGGCCAGTCCGAGCCTGTCCTTCACACTGGCACGGTTGCAAATTTTTTCTCGAATCATCTTACCACTGTCCTTTGGAAGTTGAAAAAAAGCCTTATTTTCGATGTAAAACATTCATTTGTTAAAAGAGAGAGAGAGAGGGAGAGAGAGAGGGGGAGGGAGCGAGGGAGAGAGGGAGAGAGAGAGAGAGAAATGGTGAAAATTTGAAATGTTACAATGCAATTAAGCTCCTGAGGCTCTATCTCTCCTTTTCACGCACGACTTCTTGCAAATTCCTCGTTTTGAAGGGGAGTCTTGTTCTTGATTTGCTCTAGTAAGTGATCACTTACTAACACTGAATAATTCTGATGTCTCTCTGAGATGGTTTACGACAAACTCAACTTTTATCTTTCCCCTTTATTTCTTTCACTCGTTGTTAGTGTGCCTTAAAGGTAACGTATTTTCTTTCTCTCTCCCTCCCCCCCTCTTTCATTTCATTTATTCAACAAGTCACTTGATCTACTGGTCTGATCGCTGAGATTGCATCTTGTTCTATGCACTATTTCATTTTTTTTTAAAAATTTTTTTTTTTTTTTTTTTTTTTTTACTATTTCAGTATCAGCAACGTTTCATCGATATCGATGTGTGAGCCTAATTAGAGGAATTTATTCGAGTGTTGTATTAATTTTTTGTAGATCTTGAAAACATTTATTCCAATTTTTTACAATGAGACAAAATCGCTGGGAGGTCACCTGATGAGAAGAAAGGAGCGCAATGGCGAAGTTGAAGTGAGTAAGCCAATAGGACTGTGCACTTTGGATATGATAATGCTGAATGCAATGGGCCTCAATGGAAATGCCCAAGAAAGCAGCGATCATGTTTTCGTTCGTGGTTATGACACTGTCATAAATGTAAGTTGTTAAAAACACAAAAATTTTATTTCCCCTGAGCTATTATTCAAAGGAAACCTAATCTTTCACTGATAAAAAAAAGTATGAAGTCTTCAAAATTGCTTATTCTAGGCAGTGTATAGGCGTGAATGATCGATTATCGATATTTTCCCATTTGAAACTACGGTAAATACTCGATTATTAAGGTGTTCGCTTCGGACGCTCTATTGATCGACCCTTTCCATAGGTTTAAATGGTAGATTAATCGATACACTGCAAAGCGCACGCCGCGCCACTGATTCTCGGTTACCTCTACCACAGAGGTTAAAGTTTTTCGCGTGTGAAAAACCATTAATTCTTTGTAATTCATACTAATGATACAGATAATTTAAACAAAAAATTTGATGCTTGATCAAGAGATTCCATGCTTGTGCTTAATCAAGACATATATTATCTTTAAATTAATTTACACGGAGGAAGGAATTCAGCGCTACTGAAAGTTTATCGTTCATCTTTTAAATTAAAATTCCATGTATCATATATTCGCTCTAGAAATTTCAAATTAATTTTGATTTTTTTACAGGTTTGGTGCGAGCGAATGTTTAAGCCGTGGTATTTGAATAAGCAGATTTACAATTTATCACCACTGAAACTCGTTCATGATAAGGCAATGCACGATGTACAAAGTTTTGCGGACCAAGTCATACTAGAGAGGTTGCAGGCCAAATTCGCTAGATCCGAGGATAGCAAAGAACGTAATGTAACGGAGACAAGCTCATGTAATGATGACGATTACATCAAGCCCCGGGAATCGAAAGTATTCCTCGATATGCTGTTAGATTACGTTTACGGAAACATCGATGAACATTACATGCGAAAAATGATCGAGTGTTTGCGGAATAATGAGGACGACAATGGTCGTGCCTCGAAGACGTTGAGCTTCAGCATGGAGGATGGCATCAACGAACGGAGAATCTCTGAGCTGAGACAAATGAATCGTCAAATCAGGGACGAGGTGATCACAATTCTGATTGGCGGTCAAGAAACGACAGCAGGAGAAAACAGTTTCGCCTTGTTTTTGTTAGCTCTTCACCAAGAAGTCCAGGAGAAGGTGAGGATTTACTTGTGAGCCAGATTGATTTAATTAAATTATCGAATGAATTTTCTCCTCAGTCCCTCCGAAAAAAACCAGAAACATTTGGCTACATAAGTGCGTGATTTATCTTTCACCTTTAAAATGGTAATTTGATCAATTTTTCGGTGAGAACGATTCAATATTGCGCCTGAGATAACTAAATTTTTCAAAATTTTCTGGGTTGACCCCCCCCCCCCCTCGGAACCAGGCAATTCCCCGTACCCTCCTTTAAAGCTGGGAAAGTTTCACGGATCTACTCTTCGGTAGAGCGTGTTTGGGTACCCCCTAGAACTTCTCTCTTGATAAGGCGTCATTCTGCCCGCCACAAAAAGCTTCTGGTTCTGCCCATGCTTAACGTCATTTCTTTTAAACCTCCCAGATTTCATCTGTGTCTAAATAATATTCAACGAAAATCCCAAGTAATTGCGTCATTTCTTTCTCCCTTGATACAAGAAAATGGGAGCGGAGAATTTTGCCTTTTGAATATCGCAAAGAATGAGATATGCGTTCCTCCAGTTTCACCGATGTATTCTATTATATTATTATTATACTATTTAGTAGGATATGCCTTTTAACCAAGTTATTAATTATTAAATGTAAATTTATGTTTTCAGCTGTTTGCCGAGATGGAGGATATTTTTGGTGACGATTCTAGACCACCGACGTATGAAGATCTCCAGCGGATGACATATACGGAATGCGTGATAAAAGAGACCATGAGACTTTACCCTTCTCTGCCTGTGATAGTGCGACAAGCAGAAAAAGACACTATCTTGTCTGACAAAACAACGGTTCCAAAAGGTTAACGCACTATCATTACATCCTAATATAGTAAAAAATGAATACACAGCTCGATATTATATTGATCAATTGGACTGCATTTTGAAATTTAGAACTATAAATTCTGGCTCTTCTGGAAAAATACTTATGTAAATAGGGAGACTAATGGCACAAACGTTGGTTTTTAAACTGGGCAGGAATTTATAGTTCCAAATTGCAAAATGTAGTCCAATTTGAAATCTGAAAAAACAAGGCTGAAAGAAAGACAGAAAAACGCAAGACGTTTTGCCAGATATTTCTGGCATTTTCAATCGATGAAAAGGCATACAGCCTTGATAGGTTAATAGGCGAAACTTCTCAATTTTTGTCGTTCTTTTAGCCTAGTTTGCCCAGATTTCAAATTGATCATTATCAAAATTAAAATATATTAATATGTGGCCCTCTGTGAGTAGAGGGTTCTTTAAATAACACGACTTCTCTTGAGGTAACGTGCTTGAGAGCCGATTTCCGGTCGTTAGTTGGACTACTCGTTTAACAAGATCGAAACATTAATCGGGCAGTGCTTTATTGAAAAGGGAGAAATATTAGCCTCACTGTCTACATTTTCAGAGTCATCGATTTAAAAGCGTATTTAATGTTGTTCCAGGATGTGCCGTTGGATATTTCGTGTTCGGTCTTCACAGGGATCCAAAATACTACGAGGACCCGGAGAAATTCATACCAGAACGATTTCTACCCGAATATAGTAATAAGCGACATCCGTATAGTTTCATTCCGTTTTCAGCTGGAATGAGGAACTGCTTGGGGTTGAAGTATGCCATGCTCCAAATGAAGACTGTAATTTCTACTTTAGTTCGGGAATATAAATTTTTTCCTAGCGAACGGATGCCCTCCATGGACTCAGTTGATTTAGAATTTTACACGGTTTTGCGACCCAAATCTGGGTTATGGGTTCGGCTAGAACGAAGGGATAAAACTTGAAAGCATAACCTAAGAGCCCGCAGTTCTTTTACAAAACCCTCGATAAGGCAAGAAAAAACTAGGGGAATTTGACGCTACTAGATTTTTCTCTCTTCCTAGAGAATTGCCGCAAAATTTTTGGACATATTTCTTGTGAAAAGAAAAGATATTGAAACCTCCTGTCTTGAAATCACCTGTTAAGAAATAATGGTCTTGACTGCTAAAGTGGCAACTCTCGTCGTGGTCCTGTTGAAAAACAAGGAGTTATTGACTTTAGGTACTTAAAATTGTTACATCTCTCGTGGCACAAAAAGAAAAATTCATAAAAAATTGTCGTGAAAAACAGTCGAACAGACTAAAAAGAAATATGTACATAGTAGTATTTATTTTACGAGGCGTAAAAATTCCATTCCACTCTCCTGAAGTTTTGTTACCTCTTTATTTCCCAATCTTGTACGTGAAATTCTTGGGCTACGCTCATTCTTTTTTACATGCTGTGGTACCAGAGATGTTCTATTCCTTCTGTGATAATTTATTTGTAAATCAATGAGCTCTACGTGAATGTAAAGAAAATTTCATTGTAATTTTTTTGTAAGGTTTTAAAGCAAATTGCAAGGGCATTCCAAGCAATGACTCGCTGTGTGAAACTCCTAAAAGAATTTGCAAAAATTATCTATTTTTAAACTTGTCTCATAAATTATTTAGGGGCCTATGACGGCTTCGGGATGTTTGAAGATTTTTCTCCCTGAGCTCTACAAAAAGATCTCCATCACATGTCCTTTAGCATAAAGTTAATATTTTCAGTAATGGCTCCACGTGAAGTATCATTATACTTCAAAATGTAATACATGTATTAACAATTATTGACGTGTTTCTCAAATAAATCAATTTCAGTTCACCTCTAAATATATTACTGTGGTAGTTGTATTTCATCGATAGTGGGAAGTAGTAGTAGTAGTAGTAGTAAAATAATTTTATTTTAAAGCGGTGCTTTAGCATCTAAGGCCATTTACACCTCTAAAGAGGGCAATAACAATAATAAATTTACATGGAAATATCAGTAAAAATACAAAAGGGTTGAGGGAAAGGTTGAAGTAGTGGATGAGAAGAAGAAAGAAGGAAAGAAAGAAAGAGACATGTGTACCAAGATTTCTAAAAAATGGGTTGGACGGTGAAAAGATTAAAGCAGATAAAGGGCTTGTGCGAGCTGGAAAATATAAGTTTCCCAATAAAATATTGATGTCAGTTTCACGGCCTTTTCGGGTTTCAATCTGCTCTGCGAAGCAAGTCTTTTCTAGTGTAGGACTCGATTAAGCAATACATTTACTTTAATTAAATCAGATTTAAAGCTAAACCAGACTTTAATCATTTTCAAACCAGTCATAATAGAATTATTCATTTTGACGAGTGGTCAAACCTCTTCGTTGAAAATAAGTCCTAGATCACTTAAAAGGAGTAATATGCTGACATCGCTCACCGATCGAGTTCATTGAAATTCGGATGTAAATTGACGGAATTCACGTCGACAGTGAGCTCGGAACACACCTTAACAAATTCATATTGGGTTCTCTCAGTTGGCCGGGCTCAAATTGCTACTTACTCCAAAAAGTGAATTTCTAAGATTTATTCATGATTTCTTTGTCCAAATCTGACGCTTGCAAGGGACTTACCTATCAAGATTTTAGAAACCACTCTGCTTTCCAAACTGGTTTTCCGAAGTGATTTTTAGAATATTGAAATGAAAGCCTTTAGAAATGATTGTTAAAAATACTACCGGAGAGCTCTTTAAATTATTTTCGTGATAGTATTGTCATCAAAAACATCTGACAATATTCTAGGAATACAGCTTAAATACTGCTGATTTGCAGGGAAAATGAAGCAACCAGATAGTAAACATTCGCACGTTCGCCGCAAGAAGATTTGATAAAAGATAAACGATTGTCAAAACTGAGCAAAGAATATATATTATTCATTTTAAAACCAACACATTCAGAGAGGTTTTTCGAAAATATATTCAAACAAGAACAGATAAATAAAATATGTTAACAATAAAACATTCTCTCCTCTTCGCTGAGACTTGAAATAATAGAGACAGCTTATTTTACTGCGCTGTATGGACGCCTGGAAGGAGAGATGTAAGACTTGATTTTGCTGATTGTCTCATGGCATACCATCCGGTGATTCTTATTTCACATGAAAAATATTTAAATTAATAGAAACGAGCATTTGACTGGAAATCGAAAGTGATTATTTCCGTTCAAAATATATTAGTCTCTTCAACGAGTGATTTAAATGCACCAGCATCGCTGAATATACTAACTTCCTCTGGGATGAAAAGATTAAATCACTGGACTCCTTTGGAATTAAAATTATCGAAAGAGCACTGGTACAAAATTGGCGTGAAGTCTGCCAACTAGTGGAAGGACTTTTTCAGCGTCTGTTACGCATATTCTATACGAGAGAGGATAAAAAAAAGCACATAAGCTTCACTGATTAGGGCGCCGCTGTGCTTTTTCTGTGCTATGGCTTTTAACAATTAGTTAGAGTTATTAATCTGTATGGTACAATATTTACATCTCATGGATTGTGACCTCCACGGGGTAAGGGATCTGATTGCGGATAAATAACAAATAAAAATTGAGTTACCTTTTGGTAACAGTCTATATGGAAAAATTCGAACATTTTGACTAAACAAACTGAGTTGTTAAACCAACTACAGTTATGATGGTTTAAAACTTGAAAACGACATTGCCGTTAAGAGAGGTCGGCTTGAAGATTTGATTGGTAATGTTTGGGGCTCCAAATTATCGGATTGAATGTGAAGTTACGCCCTCTAGTTACCAATACATTACTTAATTTTCACCATTCATTTTCCCAAACGCTAAACAGAATTTTTTGTCAAAAACCCAAATGCTAATTTAAATTAATTATGCTTAATTTATGCTGAATTTTTAATGCACGTTGGCTAAAAAAACTCCAACATACTGTCGTACAAGTGCGTCTACCGCAATCAGTTGGTGCAAATGCTAATTGTCCGAAAACATTTTGCTCTTGAACGATTTGCCTTCGGGCACGAAGTTCCTTTTCCCCGTGAGTGATCGTACACATATATAAAAGCTAGAGTCATTATCACAAAATTTGAAAAAAAGTAGCTCATCACGATTCGATGGATGGTAAGATCACATTGTGGTGTGGTACCTCCATACAGGCTTTGGATACGAGCTACCTCCATGCGGCCAAGCATACAGTTAATAGGCTAAGGTAGGGCATTGCTAGAGGACTCGACATGTGCGAGCATCCTGATCGCATAACTGCAACAAGAAATATAATATAAAAGTAAATACAATGACTACTTTTTAAACGTGTTGCGAGTTCTGCACTTTTTATGAGGATGCAGAGTATAGCTAAATGCTCAGAAGCTTTAAAGTGCGAGACACAAAAACTCTTGACATCAAGAACAAAACAAATGGCTTCCCCGCAAAGAAACAAATGGACGTATTTATGCTAAAAGGAACTATGTGCAAGTGGAAAGATGGGGTGTGCTCGTGCAAACTGCTTAAGAAACAATGTAAAAGTGGATATAGCTCCTTTCGAGAAAATGGAAAAGCGGGATTTTACATTAAATCAAAAGAAATTGGGCGCTAACCCGTGAGCCGTGGACATGTGACGAGCGCCTTGTGCACAGGGCTCATGAGTAAATGCGCACGGGGGTGATCAAGGCGGGCGGCTTCGTCGACGCTGACGTCACTGGCGCTTTATATTTCCCATTCATTCTTATGGCCCGATCACTAACGAGCACATCCCATCTTTCCACTTCCACATAGTTTCATTTAGCATAAATACGTCCAAATGTGTTTTGGGGAATGGTGAAATACGAAAAAAAAGTGATAAACGTAAAGTGACGGAACTAAAACTTTATAGGCAATATAAACTTAAGGTGATTCGATGGACGCCATATTTTGTGTCAGAACGGCATGCGATATATCGCATCAATTGGTTCCATTTTTTCAGCTACTCGTCACCCCTCTCCAATTTTGAGATCGCAATTCTGTTTTCAGGAGACTAAAGCACTCACTAACCAATTTTCACAAAGAAATTCAGCGTAATAAAGGCGTGGTTTTTTTAGAGAGAAAATATCGCATTCGAGTGCAGTCTCGATATCAGTATCGAATGCGATGTTTTCTCTCTGAAAAAACCACGCCTTTATTACGTTGAATTTCTTTGTTAAAATTGGTAAGCGAGTGCTTTAGTCTCCTGACAACAGAATTGCGATCTCAAAATTGGAGAAAAATGACGAGTAGCTGAAAAAATGGAACCAATTGATGCGATATATCGCATGCCGTTCTGACACAAAATATGGCGTCCATCGAATCACCTTAAGAAGGTCAAAACGAGTTCGGATGGTGGAATCACTCGTAAGGCGGGTTGCCATCCGCAAAATATACGGCGACTTATGAAGCGAACGTGAACAGCCGACGCGACACGACACACATGAGTTCGAGCATTTAACTTCTCGAATTCAGCCACTGCCCAGATTTATTAAAGAAAAATAAATGAAGCCATTAACTATTTTCACCGAACATTATCATTTAAAAAAAAGACAGGCAGGATTCAGGTCAAAACGATTAATCCTAGAGCAAAAAAACATTAGTGGTAATGATTGCACACAGGCGAACATTAGAGGATGATCTACTTGGTGTGAAGGATGGTAGATTAGTGCCATGTCCACACTATGCTGGAAATTAAGGCCAAACATTTTAAAAATTAGCGTTAGAAGGGAAAAATGAACTTTTAATTGGTTTGCATTTTGCAAAAAGGAACCAAGAGCATTACAATGTTGCTAGGATGATGCAACTTTTTTTTAACTCGCAAACGTAAATTGATCATCTAAACAAGTTTTATCTTTACTCTCAATAGACTACGAATTCAAGACGAGAATTACCTTTGTAAAAATGTTTTACATGATTTCAGTATTTTCCCCCAAAGAATGTGACATGCACAACCCCAGCAACATTGGAATGCTTTTGGTTCCTTTTTGCAAAATGCAATCCAATGAGCAAATATACATACATCAAAATATCTGCCAAAAATTCCTACAGACAAAACTTTAACCCCCTCCCCCACGCGCTTCCAGGACTTTATGTCCGCCTACCTTTCGTCCATTAAATAAATGTCCACCGCTATTTATGTCCCCTAAACGTTAAAACCAGTCTTTATTAAGACCACATAATTTAATGTCCAACCATGAATATGTCCAAAATTGTCCAAATTGTGGACATGTTAGGTCCACATTTTTTCTTCTCATTTAAATGAAAGGAACCACCTCAAAAATAAATGCATACTACTACTACCTTCATTCTTAAAAACATTTCATTCATGAATCAAGTCATGAAAGAGAGCACACTCTAAGAGCAGATAAAAACATATGTTCATGAGGACACTGTACGGATATGATGAGATGAAAACCAAAGCGGGAGCCTAGGAAACACTCCAATGCCAAATTAAACATGTTTCAGTAACAAATGCAATCAAAATTGAAAGTCCTCTTTAACTAGTTATTTCGTGCGCCTTCAATCTTGTAGGATACTGTGCAACGCCTCTGACGCGAAATAGTTAATTAAAGCGTTGCGGCGCGGCAGGCACCAGCGTGACACGCGCATAGGCGCCTACAAACCTAACGGGATACTTCACACGTTGCGCAATGCGTGAAGTATCCCGTTAGGTTTGTAGGAGCCAGTGCGCGTTCTGCGCTGCTAACACGCCGCTCCGCTCTGTGTTAGGCTCTAATATTTGAACTCGCGGAGTCAGCGTTTTTCAACTCACGATTTTGAAATGTTTGCACTCTCTGCATTGATTATTCCCTTTTAAACTAATGAAAAAGAAATTTGTACTACTGGAAAATATAATGTGTTTTTTGTAAATATGGTAGTGGTTCCGTGTCAAATTTAATGATTTCCAAAGCATTCAAATTTATTCTTTTATGTTTTGGGCTTTTACTGTGCTGCAGGCGTGGTGTAAGCGCAACCAAACGCTCAAAATTGGACGTATTTGATTCAAGGAGGTCGATGTACCATGAGTCAAACACAAAAAATTGCGTGCTTCTTAGTTTTTTTCCTCTTGTATTAATTTTTGTATAGTTTCTTTCATCACAACTACGGCTCATTGATATTCATATCGATGCCATTGCTTGGAAAAGGTTTTACAAATATTTACCACGTTTTAAAAATGTAAATGTTTTTAAAATGAAGTAATCAATTTCATGAAAAAAAAAGAATGTACATTTAAGGCGTATTTTTTATCGGAAATTTCAAGGATAGAAATGAAACCAAGTATTTACCAAAGACAATTTGAAAAGATGAATCAAAAGAAGAAATTAACATTTCATTTAAAATATGAGTTACGATAACAACACCTCATTTTCTCTCTTAATTTTCTCATTTCGATATTGTCAATATAATTTTACACACGGACTAAAATATGACGCTTCAATTTGATTTTAGTGGACTTTACATTTGTGGAATTAACTTAGTGGACGTTTAAAAAATGGACTTATCAATAAAGTGGGCTTCAGAACTGTGGACGTAAAAATTGTGGACGAAAAGTCTGTGGACGTTAAACAAGTGGACATAAAGTCAGTGTACCCCCTAAGCACCTTCATAGTAAAATAATAAATAACGACCAATGTTTTGGCCAAAGTGTCAGAAAAATTGATTTCGCATTTTTTCTATTATCACAAAAATTTATACTTGGACTGGCACCGAAAAAAAAGTACGATCTACTAGGGCGTCTTCGACGATTTTTTCTTCTAGTGAGTGAGCTGATGTAGAGCCTGCTTTCTGCACAGTTCAGGAGAAAATCCATCACAGGTTTTACGAGACGTTAAGTTCAATGCCTGAGTCAAAGTCCGTCAGCTAGAGTTGCGTCGTACAGCAGAGCGCGTCGATGAAAAAAATCGGACAATATACAGAAACTTGAAAAGCTTCATCTTCGTTGATAATAAAACGTGATGCATTCGATAGTTTTGTCATAAAATTTTCTTAAAATAGCCCCCCTTAAAATTAAATGTCTTGACGGAATTAACACCGAATTTCGCAGTTTTTCCAAATACGTCGAGTCCGACCTCTCGCAACGTCTCGTTCCTTGTGCGTCGCTGCCTTTAAATTAAACGTCGCTCTCAAGCCACTCTTTCAGCTCCATGACTTTTCTCCGTAATGAATGACTTTTTTAACCTCAACTTCTGACTCAAATAACGGATTAGGCTCGTCTGAAAGCTTTTATGTGTTAGGACTTTTCCTCCACAGTCCGCGCTCTCCCTTATCCCCACCCCACTTTCATCGAAAAATGTGTCGAGTAAATAAACCCACGGGGTTTACCATAACTTCAACCGCAAACCGTATCAAATTTCTGAAGCGAGGAACTTTTTAATTATAATAATTTCTATCCTTCATTCTATTATGAGGAAATGTTAATTTCCTTCTATGTGCGCTTTTTCTCTCCATCTTTTCCCCACCCCTATCTTTGCCCAATACCCCCTC